TATATACACAGAAACAAACGCATGACACTCGTCACCGGCTCTTTGTGCCAAGGAATCTTTCCTCACTCCAAGAGGCATTGAAGTTGATCGATGGTGAGTATGACTCATGCCATGAGTTGTGGGCGAAAGGGGAGATCAGCAGTTTCAACGTAGAGTGCCACGCTTACACATCTTCTTGTTTAATCGGTGTACAGTATATCAACAAGAAACGAGTTGTGTTTTTTATACACAGAAAGCTCTCTTTGGCACATAGGTGGGTGAAGTCTGCCAACGACAAGATCAGACAGTCCACGGCCACGTCCCATACTCATTCCTTTTTTGATGAACAATCGATACATGAAATGGAAACATGTCCTGTTTTTTTGGTACCTTGCATTTGTCTATAGATAGAGTAAAGCTACATCAAGAGTTTGAAGACTCACATCATATATGTCACCTTCCACTTGCCCCTCCAAAGTTCCGAAGGTGTAGCAGAGCCTGCGCGATGGAAATCAAAATCCGGAGCACACCTTAGCGTTGTGATGCTCAATGGTCATTGTGCTGCAGGTTCATGGTAATTTATCGCATCTAATTGTGTTTCATGTTGTTTCATGTCAGTTGTGAGTGCTCCTATAGGACTGCGAAGAAGTATGAGAAACGCAGCGCTGGTGACACTCATGAGGAACCCGCGGGTAAACGGCGTAAGAAGGAGAAGACGGAGAAGACTGAGAAAACGGAGAAAACGGAGAAGAAGGATAAGAAGGAAAAGAAGCAAAAGAAGTGATCGCGTCTTTGGGCCACTAGATGGCACATTTTGCTCATGAGAGCACACATGTTCATCGCTCGTTGCAGAAAACCCGTGTGACCAGGGACACGGGATAGCGCTGCAGCGAACTGGCTGGAAGCCATTCAATCTCAGGGTAAACTCTTTTTGGGTTGATATGGTGGCATTGCTGCTTGTTTGATGAATCTCTTGTTTTCTTATAGTACATCTGTGTCAATCAAATAATGTGTTTGTGGTCCTTGGGGGGTTGACAGCGGCATCCTGCCACAAACGGATATCAATCCGCTCTGCACTCGATCGTCAAGAAAAGTCTTTGTGAGAAAAGTCTATGCGGGTGACCTAGGTTCGATAGAGCATGGCGCAGCTTCACGACTTCACGATCCATGCCCTCTCCCCACCACGGGCCAGGTGCTGGGCATGCAGTAAGCACCATTGCCGGTGACATTGGCGAAGGCGTCTGAACCTCAAGCGCACGATTATTCAACCTTGTAGACATGTCTTTTGGTTTTGCTGCCAGCAGCGCTGTCTGCAGCGTATCTGGCTTCTATATACATATGAGACTGAGAAACTCTGTGCAATGCCACGTTTGCTATGAAAAGACTCTTATATATAACAAAGTCTTATAAATATGACATAACCTCGTATATTTCATAAATATATCTATATATATATGACATTCAATCGTATATATACATACCTTCACCAACGGTGCTGATGGTTGCAAACGATGGGGCGGATGAAACAGCAGAAGAAGAACTCCTGGATTTGCTCACTTGCCACCGCTCGGAGCTTTGGCACGCAAACATGTTTTTGCAAACCGTCTTCAAAACTCCTCCAATTCATGCCTCCTGCCTCGCTGATGAAATGAGGAATCCGAGTGCCCCTACCCATGGAAAATGCCTTCGTCGTCTCAAGCTTCAGCTGCCTCTTCGCAACGGACGGAGGGGCCGGTACCAGTGAAAAGGGTGAGATCATCAGGGGCTACACTGTCTAAGATACTGCCTGGGTTTCAAAACGATGCCACCCGTGTCATGGGAAACTTACCAGCCAAATTGCTTGAGCGTTCCGGCCTGCAGCAAATGGTCCACCATGCCAAAGCTCTCGGCTGCATCTCGTTTCGACTTCCCAAATCAGTTGTTACAGCTGGGGCCATTCTTCACCATTGTATTGGAGTAGTTGAAAGCGTGCTGGAAAAGCAATACCCTCTTATCTTCAAGATTGGCTTCACTCATGATGCCGTGTGGCGCTGGTCGAATGGTCTCTACGGCTATGCTGTTTCTCGAGAGAAATGGTCAAATATGATCATCTTGCATATAGCTGATGAACCCTTCAGTGTGGCTATGCTTGAAGCTGCCTTGATCAACAGATTTCATGGATTCTTGGCATCATACGGATTTGGTTTTAAGGGGTGAGATTGCAATACCAAAAGCTTCCAAACACTATATGTTGACTATATTGCTATACAAACTGTGAGCCTGAGACCTCTTCCATATATATATATATATATATGCACGAGCAAACATGAGCAAGCTTAATGAATATAATGCAAACATTATCTTGCATCGCACTGTCTTGTGCCTCAGGACTGGAGGGATGCCGAAATGAACGCCGTGGTGGAGATAGCGTGAAAGCTCCGCAGAGCTCTGATGACTCTTTTATGTGCTACCTTGTGTATAGATCTTTTGCAGTCAAGCCAGCCCCTTGAGCGCCCGCATCCACTCAAAGATTGCATGTTCATATACGATGTTTATTGATCGAACAAGTGAACCCTTGCACACAGACCGGATCATACCGGTATGCAGCTTGCCTGTGACAAACTATATACTGTAAACACCAGAAAGCTTCCACTTTCAAGCTTGCTTGGGGGCTGACTCAAGAACCGTTGCATTCCTTCAATTAAGCCAAACCTCTGTATATATGGAACAGGGTTCTTTAATCCAGTTCGTGGAAAATCAGCGCTTTGGTTTGATTGTACTTTGCATTGCCCGGGATGACTGTGTCCAATGTTTACCAGCCTTACTGCACAGCATTCTGCACATGGCAGTCATGAGTCATTAGCGACACCAATTCAGTACATGCGAGCACACGCGCAATTCAAGTGACAGTGACGGCATTCGTTCTGAGGTCTCATCTTACAGAGCCTCGATCAGGACTGCAAAAGGCGTGGTGGCAGATTTAGGCGAGTCTGCTGCGTCTAGTTCAGGCGGATTGAGCAGGCTTGCACAGATACCTGAGAAGAATTCGGAGCGGGATGGCCAAAAGCTCATGAAGAAGTTGAATCTAGCTTTGCCCGTGGAAATGTCCACTCTTCAGAAAGCCCCAGGTGTCCAGTATGATGGTCACATCTGCGTTCTGAAATTGGAAAGCTGGGTAAAGTTCATCTTGAGCATTAATGCCTGGCATGTGTTTTGTGGATTGCATGCACCGGACGAACGCAGGGAGCGTGCGATCCTCTCACATTTCTGGAAGCTTTACCGGGAGTATGAACCAGCTCATGCCATGTGGTCCCTGGTGGACCAGGGGAAGCTTGACGTCAGCAGATGCGCTCCCCTTCTTTTGCACGGCAATGAAGGGCGGGGGCGTAAGCGCACACCTTTTCTGGTTCTGAGTTGGAGTTGCGTTCTTGGATTCGGTACATTGTTGGCGAACAGCTTAAGGAAAAAGAAACATTTCTTGAGTTTGAAGTTGAATTACAGTTCTTCTACACACTTGCACCGGTTCCTTACCTCAGTGCTCCCCAAGATGACAAGGGACGAGGAAGCTCTACAAGACCTGCTGCGTTGTGCCACGGACTCCGCTTTGAAGCTTATGTTGGAAGGGATCACCAGTCCACATGGAGAAAAATTTTACGCCGTGACCTTATATTGTACGGGAGACTGGGCTTGGATTATGAAGGCCGGCAATCTAGCCCGCGGATTTGGACACGTCATCAAGCGACCAATGAATGAACACACTCAGCCAAAAGGCATATGTCATCTATGCCGAGCAGGCCAAAGAGATGTGCCCTTCGAGAACTTCCGGTTCTATCAAGGGGATGAAGTTCCAAGCTGGCATTCCACTATGTTTCAAGAAGCGGCTTTCACAAGTCCACCGGAGCTATCCCGAATACCGTTTGTTCCAGGAAGAGAAGCAGAGTTCTTCGCATACGATCTTTTTCATGCCTACCACTTGGGACTAGGCAAGGCTTTCGCGGCTGGCATTTTGGCATACGCATCAGATTTTATGCCAGGAGGCAGTGTGGACTTGAGGTTTGAGCAATTGACTGCAGAGTACATGGACTTTTGCGATCGGGCCCACCAATCTCCATACTTGCTTAGCTTGAACAAGGACAACATTGGCTGGCCCGATCGCTCCACATACCCGAATGGGCAGTGGAGCAAAGGCCACGTGACAACGTCGTTGACGTCTTTCTTTGCAGATTGGGCTACGACCAAGCTTGCAGATCCCGCTATCAACGATGATTTTTTGCGTGTGTGTTTGCAGGCCTGTCAGTTCATAGAAAGGGCCATGCATGGCTTGTATAGCAATGATGTTTGGTTGGAAGCGTCGCTTGCTCGAACCATAGCAGACAATGGCCTTCAGTTCATGGACGCATACCGAAGACTCAGCACTGCAGCCTTTCACTCCAACAAGGCATTGTTCCCTCACATGCCTAAGTCTCACGCAGTTGAGCATTTATGGTGGAAGCTGCGTTCCACCTCGTCTACTTCCAGATGGTGCCTCAGTCCTTTAGTGACTGCTGTCCAAATCTCTGAAGATTATGTCGGCAAGACTTCCAGACTGGCCCGCAAGGTCCATCCCATGCAAGCAGTACAACGTGTACTTCAGAGATCATTACAGGCATCATACAAACATTGGCACAGTGCAGGATGGATTTCAAAGTAAAATGTGCGACCGGAGTACGTGTGTGGGTGGGGGAAGGTTGGGAGGGAGCATGCTGACACACAGTCAAAAACAAAACATCGTCTTTTCTGAAAAGACATCGTGTTTTTTTGGGAACCTGCTTTTTCTCAGTGTCTGGAAGCTTCTGGTAGTACGAGTAGCGTCGCTCCGTTCGGTTCGCGATGCCCGTAATGGTTACGTTCGTCGCGTCCTCTTGCTCCGTTCGTTTTAAGGCCAGGAGCCCCGTTCGTAGCGTCCGATCGCTCCTACTTGGGTTTGTTGGATACTGGAGAGGTAGATTGCTCATCCACACCCACTGATTGCTTCGACATGCGCGGGTCCGGGTCCAAGTGACCGCCGAGCGAGGCAAGTGGATGGCGTCCGGCTTGGTGCGCCTCGGTAGAAAAACCCGACAAACAAACGTGACAAACATCATGAGTTATCATGTATGAATTCAATTAATATAAAGACATGTAAATATTGGGTGGATGATATCGATTGGATTTGATTTAGTATAGATTCAACTCCTAATAACCCCCAGTTGAGCACCAATTAGGCCACCAGTTGACCTTTTCCACAACCTAATCAACCACTCCTGTTTTCTCTTCCACAGCCACAAACTGGTCCATGTTTTGATTACTAAATGGCGCCCGTTGGTCACGACGTCGTAAGGGTCTCAGCTCCCGCCGACCGATGGTCTCGAGACTGGCCAAGCCACACGCTCGGCTCTCGATCGGTCAGGTCAAAGTAGCGCTTCGAGACGGCCTGGATCGACATGGCGGCACCCGCATCCCCAAACATCCGCAGGGTAGGTGGACCGTAAGGACCAGCACAGTGATGCGGTCAAGACCGGCTGCCAGGCCGTCTGCACAAAGCCGGTCAAGTTCCGAAGGCTCATAGGACCGAATGAAACCACTGGATGACTGTGGCTCTGTGGCTGGAAGTTCCTACTCCGACTAAGGGAAGCGGCAGAGGTTGGACCTCCCTCCCTGTGTTAAGACACATAGAAAAGCGGCCAAAGCAAAGGCCTTCTTTTGGGAACAATCACGGACCCCAAAGCACCCACATATATATATATATGCATCCGATCTGAGTATTTGCGTGCATCTTGCATCTGCGTGCATTCATCTTTGGACCGAGTCATACCCCGATGCAAAGCCTAAAAAACCTCCAAAACCCTCTGGTCTAAAAGCCTGTCTGATTCAGAGACACCTCTTGTTTTTGGATCAGGTTGGAAGTCTTCCAAGTCCAATCCATCTCTCCCAACCTCCAAACCGAGCTCAGAAACAAACCCAGTCTCCCTCCTTCTCTCCCTCTCCACCTCCGCGCGGGCCATGCCGGTGAACAGCTCCGACAGCTCGCGGAAGCCACGGCGGTAGCTCCAGAGCAAGGTCCTCGCCGTGCTTCGGCGGGGGGATTCGCTGTTTCACGTTCGGTCGGAGCCAGCGAACGTAGGTCGGAAAGGTGTGGGAAACCGGTCGACGTTTGACTTCTTTTAAGCAAAAACTGGTTGAATCTGATTGAGCTGTTTGAGTGTTGTGTAACATAGTAAAACATCGTAAAACAAATATAGATTTTATGGAAACGGAAGCCGAATGGGTTTTTGGGAGAGTGGGGGAAGATGTGGAGGAAACGGAGGGGAAAAGCGGCCGCCAACTGTGGAGCCTGGTCCATGCCACGTTTCGCTAATGTTGACCAGGCTAACAGCAGAAAATGGCTGTAGCTTCTTGTTACTATATAGTAGCTCTTTGCTACTAGTAGTAACGCCTTTTGTTACTAGTAGCGATGCCCTTGTTCCGTTCGTAGCTTCTTGTTACTAGTAGCTATATAGTCCGGGATCCAAATGGCTTCCATGAGATGCCCAAATGAGGCTGCCCTTCTTGACAAATCAACCCCCCTACATCCCCCTAGCTTCGTACAATAACCTCATATATAGCCTCTATATAGATGCCATTAGTTACGATTCATCATGCTTACCCCGACACCCAAATATGGTGATTCTTCCCTCAAGGCCCACGACTGGTCCAGTCGAATACTGAATGTACAATTGCCCTTCAGGTACCGGAGACGCGCAAAAAAAGACGCGACAGTCCGAGACTCTGAGAGCGGAAGCCGAAATGGACCAGTCCGACATCCAACTGCTGCATCTTAGAGGTGAAATACGGTGATCCTACTTGACTCTTCCATTAAGAATTGCATAGAATGGCCTAAACTTAGAAAACCGACCATGAACCGCGGGAGAGGGGTGTCTCCTGTAGGTGTAGAATTGGCCCATGGTCAGCTCCCCGCGTGCGATGAACAAGCATGAGAGGCCTCGATGCTATCAGAATTGATCAGATGCTTGATCCGATCAGACCAGTCTATCCAGGTGCGAGTCTCTCAATGCAAAGTGCAACAGCAGCTTTTGGTCCAGAAAATTCTAGAAATGTCAAGCCTTCAAGTTGCATCGAGGGGCATAGGAGTGGAACATCAGTGAGAGCATCATTCCTTGGTTGTGCACATCTCAAAACCCTGAAACACACACCCAACCATTCCATGTGACTGGCATATTTACCTAGTTTCAGGGGTGAATGTATGGAGTGTCCCAGACCAGACACACAAGAAGACAGCCTTTGTAAAACACATGGTGGTTGTCCAATATTCTTGTTTATTGAAACGGCCATTCGTCGCGAAAAAAACATTAACATTCGCGAAACTTTCGCGAACCCTGTGTTTTTCTTTCGCGGGGATTCACCATGTCATGAAACCATTTAACCTGGTAGGGACTCGATTTCTAAATACAGTTTGTGGGGTTGCTATGGGCTACGGGGTTCCTCTGGAGCCGATTCATTCGCCGAAACCTTCGCCAGACTTTCGCGAAACTTTCGCGAAATAATCCCTGTGCTTTGGAGGTTTTTACGGCATACATAACATAGGGTGGACTACATGAAACAGGAAGGAAGCTTCACACGGATTCCAAAGTTGAAGCTGCTGACGGTCAGAAAAGGATGTGGTTATGCATGGGGCAAGCCTGAAGGCTCACCAAAGAACATACAATAAAAATTCATACTTTCGCGAATCTTTCGCGAAAAAAACATTAACATTCGCGAACTCGAAAAACAACTTTCGCGAGACCCACGATCATGTCATCCAAGGCTCTCGACATTAAAAACCCTTACAAGGACCTTTTGGATAACTCCCACATACTTTTCACCTTGGACGCTACACCGGTCTCATCCCAAGCGGCACAAGAGATGAAATGAAACGCAGCGCCGTTTCCTTGTAAAGTGTTTGCTGAATCACCTGGACCGCAGCCGTCGACGTGCCGTCGACGCCGAATTGAAGGCGTCAGCCACACATGAGTGTGAGCCACATGAGTGGAGTGGCGGAGCAAATCAGTTGAGATGACCCCAAGTTGGGTCGGCCCCCACCGCGGTTCTGCAGCTTACCCTATGGCGACCGTCTTTCCGCAGATCCGATTCTGGCCTCCAGGTAGCTCTGGGTGGCCTTTCCATACTCCTCACGATGAAGGGCTCCCATTTGGGGACCTTGTCATTCCAAGCAAAGCACAAAAAAGCACCGGATGCCCGCATATGCCTGTGCTGTAGCAACAAAACGTGCCTTCCAGGACACCTTCCAGGAACACACAAATCTAAAACAAAGCAGAACGATTCCCAGCAGAATCGGTTCAACCACTGTCCCCACTCTGACCAGTGTCCCCACGTCTGACCCGTCCGACCCTCGTCCCACCTCGTCGTTTGGTCACTTCGGCGCTCCTGGGTCTCGGTCTCCTCGCCCCCGGCCAACTGAACCGCCCTCACGTTGGTGATGGCCTCTGCGGGCTTCTGCTCACGCGGACGTTTGGTTCGGCGAAAAGACATGGGCTGCTGGCGGAGTCTGGAGAGGGAAAAGCCATGAAAAGCCATGCCTCAGAAGTGCTAGTGAATCGCTGGCTCCTTTTGGGGTGGCTGCAGAAAAGGATGCCTTTCATGGCCTTTTAGGCAAGCTGGAAGAAGCGAATCGCGTTCGCTCGCTCCATTTTTGGGCAGCATGACGCTACTAGTAGCTCCTGGGCCCACTCGTTCCAAGATTGACCAGCATGATGCAACATGCCGCAAGAGTTGGACCACTCTCGTCCGTGTCGCTGGTGAAAAAAGCTCTGAAACGAATACGGGATTGATATAGTACTCCATGTGTGGTATGTGGGGTGGGAGTAGTAGGGAGACCTCCGAATAAATAGGTTATTGTTCCTTCTTCCAGGGGGATCGGAACGCCTGGTCTCGGTCTCCCTATGCCTATACATTAACATATATGCCTACATCGATCCTCTTCAACCACCCCAATGGCAATATAGTTGCATCATTTTGCATCAATATGCCAGCTTCATATTGGTCGTATCTAGTAGGTGATAGATGGTGATCCTACAGTACTCCAACATCCAACATGACTCCAACTCTGCTGTGTTCACGCAGTGCCCAGCCTCCGAAGCCACGCCATTCACCCTCGCCAGCGCGTCGTTTTGGAGCGCTCCGTAGCGGCCCACGACCTGAGGACACGACCGGAGTGTCTGTTCGAAAGGTGTTGGAATCCAAGGATAGGTTGTAGAACAGTCGTATTTTCATCTATCCCTACCTACATCCTGAACATCCTGCAAACAACCATATTACCAAAAAACACACGAAGAGATCCGTTTGCAGGATTTCCTTCGGCAAAGGCATCCAACTCAGGACCACGCTTCTCCGGTCTTTTTGACCAGAAAAAATGCCAGCGGCAATGGAGCCTTGTGTCGTTCAGCGCGTTCGACGTGGGCGCGTCGTTCGAAATGCACAGCGGTGTCCAACTACGTCTTCCGCCGTAAAAAAGTCCTGAACCCTTCGGACTTCGGCGCCAAAAAATCCACATGGCACCATAAACATGACCTGTAATACAGTGGTTCAACATGATTTTCCACCCACCGAGTGACAAGCTGAGATCTCTTGATCAGCGAATGGAAAGCACATGATAGCATCACAGAGCCTGGAAAATGAGGCAAACTTTGGTCCAACCCCTGTGTCATCTCATGACACCCTCTACCGGAGAAGAACAACACATCTACCTGGAAGAAAACCATGGTTTATTCCAAGGTCCAGGCATGTCCAGGCTGTCCAGGGGTCTGACAGGGTCTGAGCACAAAAGCATAAGCAAGCGCGTGCTCTACAACCCTGAGGCACCAGCGACACTGATGACCGTCAGCAGCAGGTGCTGCTTGGCCATGAGGACCAGCGAGACGACCTGCTTTGGACACAGCATAGTGAGGCACCAGCGACACCAACAATAGGATCCCTCCTAAGTTGATCGACTGCGTCCTGTGTCCACAAAAGCCCGAGGGGGTTATCTTCGCTTGAAAGCTTGTCCTGCGCCTGCATGGAAGCAGAGATCAGTACATATCAATGCACCAAAGTCTGTGATTGCACTCTCGAACCAAATTGATGTGGACCGGATCACCTTGATCTTCACTGCTAGGCAGTACAACTCTATGCAGTATCACTCTGCTACACTACACCAAAGGTTTCAGTTCAGGAAATCACTCCAACCGTTTATTGGAGTTGCTGTCGACAAGAAAGACAGATACAGAATCTTCAGATTCAATTTGATTCAATATTCCACAATCCCCAGAAGGGATTCACCCAATGGGCTTACTTACGGGCGAAACGCCCACCCCCCGGGCATGGCCCGAGCCGACGTTCGACCCGCTCCGGGATGGATCCGGGCCAAGCGGACGAGGTTCGTCACCAGGTTTTCAGGAGCTCGATTCAACACCTCGAAGCGAATTGGGTGACCAGAGCTCATCGAGCTCGTCATCTGCGTAACAAACGAAAAAGCACACAAACACCATTTTGACCACCGTTGATGAGAAGAATGGCCATTTGTTGTTCTTTTGAACGAACTGGGGATTTGAATGGATTTAACTTTTGGGATTTGAAGTTGAGCCAAAGGCTATGAAAAAGGACACATACCACTCACGGGTGAATGAATCTTTATCCATGGTTTCGTCTGGATCTTTTGGTCTCAAAGCCATTTTGAAGTCTCCTTGCAGAAGATTCTGGTTCCGAATTCAACCAGGTCTCTCAATGGCTCTCCAGTCCAAGAGGGAGTTCCTTGAGGGTATTGCTTCTCACATTCTGAATTACAACTTCTCAGTGTGAATGTGGAGGAGTGATTCACTTGAACACATCGAAGCCCAGAAGCCCAAGCCAGCCCAGAAGCCCAAGCCAGCCCAGAAGCCCAGTTTCAAGAGCCTTTCCACCACCGGTAAGAATTCGCTACATTGGTGAACCCCCGGAATTGGGGGTAGTTATAGTCATAGTCGGCCGGCAAAGCTGCAGAGCCTTTATAGCATCCCCCAAAAAAGCAGGTGCACGCATGTTGGGATGGGCGGGATTGCAATCCCGTGCCTCGCTAGGTGTCTTCATTTCCTTCATGTATGGCATTATTGAGTATGCAATGGTGTACGGTTGCAAACCACAAACGACAAGGTCTGCAAGACATCTCTGCAAGAGTTAAGATCCCTGCATTCTGCAACTGGTCTGTATCATTCGTCAACCTTCAACGTGCGGCAATGGCTTCAATCCGCAACACTTTACTTTGATTAAGGCTTGTTTTCAGTGTTGCCAACTCCACTGCCAAACAATCAAACTGGAAACACACCATGCAAAACAATCGGTGCTATAATACTATAAAGGTTCAATCAGTACCATGAAAGCAAGATTCACCCATTTGTACCCTCTCAAAGGTCCAAAGCATCATATATCCAAATCTGCTAGCAACCTTTCCACACATCCAATTACTGTTTCATGCACTGCATTACTTCTTTCTTATCCATGACATGCAACTTCAAACCCTTCGGCACGGTTGGTTCTGTTAAAAGCATGGCCTTCTTAGAATGGCTTCTTCGCTTCGGACACCGAAGACTCGCCGCCTGGACACCAAGCCGCCACTGGAGTTCTTCTCGAAAAATGCCACTTCTTGCCGCATCAACGCCTGTCTCCCGCTCCCTGTTCCGTCCCCTTAACCCGTTGCCCGCGTGGACGGGCGTCTTGCAGGTCGGTGACAGGTCTGGAGCGGTCTTCGAGTCCTTGCGATCGAAGTGTGTAAAGCGAAGCCAGACTTAGGTGAAAGAAGGGGGGATGTGACTTAGATGTTTGTATTGACCTGGATTGCAACGGGTCATGTGCCCTTAGTCCAGCAAGCACTAAGAAGCTTTCAACCCCCCCTCTGTCCAGACGTATGATTTTTTGTCTGAAGCTCAACGATGTCGCGTTGCATGGGCTTGTGTGGCAACCGATCGATTCTCGAACAGCTGCTGTCTCTGTAACAGCTTGCAACTCTTTGTGCAACCAGAAACGCAAGTAGAGGCATCACAGGTGCCACTAATGTGGCAATTCCACCCTTCAATCGGTAATTTTAACCGCTTCAGTTTGGATGCCAGAAATGACCAGAAACTCGCCAATGGCATGGCCTTGGCCAGCTCCAACACCAATTGCTGCCCGAAAGTATCAAGATCATGATCAAGAAGATATTCTCGTTGGAGAGAGGCTTCCAGATGTGATGTCGAAGACCCTTTGGATGAAGAGGCCCGGGTCTCCACTTGGAGCTGTAGATCGCCCCGTGGCCGTGGAAAATGCAGATTCAGCGACTCCCTCCGAGGGAAGGATGCCAGGGACTCCCTCCGTAAGACTTGCAGCTGCAGCAACATCCCCGAGCCGATCTTGAGCCTTCGTCGACCCTGTAACTCTGCCAACGAGACCTGCCGGGACTTGCAGCTGCCGCATCGCACGGAGAACAAGGAGTCGGGCGCCAGCCCTTCTGTCGACAACAAGCGCAAGTAGCGGGTGCCCACTTGCTCCAAGGCACTTCCATCTTCCGGCGCCTGAGCACAGCAGTTCATGAGTTGAGCCATGAAGTCGAAGGGATCTGGCGGCCGCTCAAGGAGAGTGGCCTCCAACAAAGTTCCAATGTACTGCCTGGGAGTTGCTGTCCAGGAAGCCGCGGAAAAGAACAAGTTTAAACAATAAATGCATATAGAACATGATATTTACCATGTGCATCGGGAAAAGATTGAAAAACAAATCACCCTATGATAGTAAACCAGGTTGCGTGTGCCACCGAGCCAGTTCCTGTGAGCTGACACCTCTCCGAGCACTGGACAACTCGAAGGAGATCGATCCTCTTCCCTCGCTGTGCCACACGTAAACCGAACATCCGGGATGCAATGCAAACGTCGCACTCATCTGCAGTTGCAGCAATGACACTTGGAGGGTGTCATCTGCAGTTGCAAGCCGTGGTCCATGGCTGAGGGGCAACACCAAAGCTTGTGCCTTCAACTTGATCAGCTCTTCTTGACGTCGAACACCTCTGAAAGAGCATTCCAGAATGGCATCTTCCAGTGGTCCCTCTGCAGCGGTCACGATCACTTGCAGTGCCTCTGCAGTCCGAGTTTTCTCGCAGGGTGACCCCATCGGACAGCCGTCCATGGCGTGGCCATGCTGCGAATTGCTCGTCCTGGACGCCGGATGGAGCTGAGCTGAACCTGCTGGACCTGCACCTTCCCTTCGCCCCAGCGTCGTCGCGCGAGCCAAGGGCACCGGCCGAGCCGGTGCCGGGCTCGGAGCCAAGCGTGTTGGTGGGAGACTCTCGGGGCTCGCGCTCGCCAGCTGTTGGATCGCTGCTTGCAGCTGCAACAGATTCTGCTGCACCTTCGCGCGCAGCATCGACAAGTGCGTCGGGGATTCAGGTCCACCCGCCGGCTCGGCCGCGGGTGAAGCGGTGGCCGTGTCGGTCCCGGGTGTGGTCCCTTCGGGTGCGGCCTCTTCGGGGCGTAAGAGTTGATCCAAGGTGTCCTCCAGGGCCGTGGTCGTTTGTCGTAAACGTGCACGAAGGAACTCATCTGGGACTGGCGGGACTGGCGGGACTGGCGGGACTGCAAGCTCAGCACTCTCGAAGTCAGAAGCTTCCTCCACTGGGTGAGGTGCATCTGTTTTAGAATCAAAGGGAAGCAAAAGCTCTGGAAGCACACGATCCGGATCACTAAGCTCACGCTTCGTGAAAATTCGATCAGGAGCTTCAAAGCCATAAGATTCCGGATTCGAACACCACCACTCAAACCCTTCGGACGCAGAGGCTTGCGCCGGTTGGATTTGCTTCTTGCGTCCCAAGTTGAACCACCTGAAGGAACGTCCGGCTTTTCCAGACATTCCCTCTTCGGGTGTGGCTCGAAGCCCTGTGGCTCCCATTTAGAAGCCTTGAGCAGAGCTACAGGACTCGCAGGACTCGTTCGGCGATACCGTTGTGATTCTTGGGAGGCTCCGTTTGGAGGTTCATCGAATCGGGAAAACGAAACAATACACCTATATGGGTTTTCCTCTCAGAGCTCATCTCCGCTGGGCTCAGGATGCGAGCAATTTTGGAGTATCCAATCTGCATCAGGTCCCTCCTTGCCAAGAAAACTGAATGCTGTGTGCCATGATTTGCCCTTATAGCAAAACGGCCATGCCATGACACCCCAAAACAAGTACAAAGAGCGTACGAGAACATGCTTCTTTTGCATAGGTTGCGCGCGCGGCTTGCCTTGAAGAGCTTTCGTCTCATCTGCATGGACATTCTCCACCTCCCAATGACAGCATTGGTTGCATTGTTTGACGTTGACAGGGAACATCAGCATCTTAGCAATCTGGAGTGTTGCGAACTGAGGTCCATTCCATTCCCATGGGCATTCTGTCGAATCTGCCGATTCTTCTCCTCTTTTGGAGGAAACTATAGGAAATTACATGTCAGAAGAATAGGTGGTGATTGAATATCAAAAGCGTCGTTGACTCCGCCCTCAGAAGTCGTTGACTCCGTCGTTTTTCTCCACGTTCCAAACAAAAGAAGCTCGCTTCTCAAGACGTCGTTCGCTTCTCTCTAGACTCTCTAGACTCAGACGATGTGTCCCTCCTTTCGTGGCCAAAATAAAGAACAAACAAACATCGTCTTCTCTCTCTCTCTCTAAATAAAAAAGGAGAAACCTTCGGACCTGGCAAGAGCAAACAGAATTCCTTGCACCACGTTGGCCTCCGGCAGTGACGACCGTGGAGGAAAAACACCCGGCGCGGTCGGGTTCGGACGAACAGGTCAACCGGCCAACCGGCGACGAGCAGCTCGCTTGGTCCTATTGGGAAGCACAATGGCTGCCCTGGGGGTTGTGATACAAAAAGCGTTGCTTATCTATCTTCTCCCTTTTTGTATATATAATATATAATATATATAATATAAAATATATATAATGAATATATAGTACGTTTATAGCTATAGACATGGTAATATTAGTTTACGTGCTATAAATGAATCTATATTATTATATAGTGCGTGCTATAAACGTCGATCTTCAATCTTGCATGTGGAAGCCAGCTCGAGCCCATGGAAATGCCGGGGTCGGTCTCCCATATCTTATCTTGAGCTACACACCCTCGACCACGGAGGCTTAGACATCAAGCCCTTGGGCTGTTGTTCCTACTACGTTCGCGTGCGAACCTGCAGCCGCAATACAAAAATAATCCAAAAGCATCCAAAAGCCATGAGATCTAGGCCTGAACATCTGCTGAATCATTTTAAACTAGGTTGACATCTCCTTGAAGATCTACCAGACTGGACCCGACATCGCGCAAAAAAATGCAATCCTTCGTCTTTAAGGTCTTTTACTTCAAACCAAGTGGCAAAGTACCCATACAAAGCTGCGGCAAAGTAGAATCCTCGCGTTCGCGTGCTGCGTCCGCGCCGAACAGGGGTGCGACCGCATGGTGTCGGATTGATTCCATCTGTCAGAAGGCCAAGAGATTGGTTTATTAAACCTGCTGGGTGGCTTTCAACTCACCTATTTACATATTAGTCCAGTGGGATCCAATATTCCAAGTCTTTGAACTTTGAACACCAAAATAAGTAAAATATAGACCCCGGATTGCCCTGGCTGGCTGGATCGACTGGAATTCGATGACTGGAGGTTTGAGAGGCGAACTTGGCAAAAGCCCCGATTCGATGGGGCATCGATAGAGAACTGAGAGCGTGGGACGAGTTTTAAGTTAAAGAATGGAATACGTCAGACCTCCGCGGAGGGGGAATGGAATGGAATGGAAACTCAATGGAATGGCAGGGGGGTGGCTTCTTGGATCTTTCAAAACAATGCTGACACTCCTTGAAAGAATCCAAGGACTAGCTGTTCTGGAACTTGGCCCCTGGAAGACCCTGAAATCCGCGGACAAAGGGAACCGACTCATCAGCTTCACGAAACTTGTTGGAGGAAGTGTTTTCTAAGAGGTGTCTTTCAGTGGCTTCCATACTCAGCAGATCTCACCTCCCTCTCTGCGCCTGCAATGGGTGCCAGTGCATGGATCGCATCGGTGGTGCCCGTGCCAGCAATGTTGATGGCAGTGTCCAGAAGACGTCCAGTCAGGAATGCCCTCGGTCTTTTTCGGCCAACTTCAGCGGTGGAGGCGGTGGAATGTCATGTCGGGTTGACATCGTTTGACAAACTTGCGACCAGATTGAACTCAGCGCACATGTGGAAAGAAGAAACAAGCCAAACACATCTATCAATCGATATGATATCGATATCCACACCTCAAGTGAAAAGCATTGAAAAGCCAATGTTTTCGATTGGAACACCTGCAACAAGGTGTCTAAATGGCGGCGGAAAATGGGCTTACAAATCAGCATCTGCAAAGGTCAAACCCCTTAGTCTTTCCGAACTCTGTTTGTCTTTCTGATTTCTTTCTGTTTCACTCAAAAGCACGAACAAGCCGAACTCACCTCGCGCAAAAAGAAGAGAACGAAAAAGCGGTTCGAAGCGCAGCGGAGCGCAGCGCCTCAACGATGCGGTCCCAGCCAATGACATCGAAATGAGGGTGGCTGGAATGAGAAGATGCGGCTGAGCCTGATGCAAAAAACCGCTGCACCAGCGTGAATGCGAGTGAACAGTGAACACATGTGCCATGTCTTGGACCATGAACAAAAACACACAACGTTGGACCATGAATCTCAAGACATGACCAACTCAAGTGACATGAATTCGCCTTTTTCCACCTCGCCACTGCGAAATCTGCGAAGTCGCACACCTTTGATACTCGGATGTGAGGTATATGGGGCCGGGAAGCCTTTGGAATCCACAAGCCGAAGAGTGGGACGTCGGCAGGCCGAAGAGAGTTTCACCAGAAAAAACATCAAACACATCCAACCAGCACCACCCAGTTGGGGTGGTTTATAGACCCCCTACTAAATAGACTCGTCTTTTCCATCCAATCGCCACCCGTGGCGAGTAGGTGGTGCTGGTGTTCCGACCATCGCCACCCATGGCTTGATGGAAACGTGCGAATCCGTACGAACGAAGCTTGGTGGACCGGTCCTGCCCGCCGGTGCCCACCGGTCCTGCCCACCACGGTCTTTCACCGAGTAAGACGTAGATGCACCGTGCATGAAAATGCGACGGGTTCCACCCGGCAAACTCCTTTGACATCATGGTGAATTTGGTGGAAGTTTGCAGAGTGATATCTGATTTTGTTGGGTTCTCCCCCCTTGAATTGGAAAAACGTGGTCAAAGCCACGTGCGTGCTTAATGCAGTGGGTCAAAACGATTCAAGACATTGATCTTTCTGGACAACTGGACAATATGTTTTGCTGTTGAGGTGTCTGATTTTAACCCGCTAAAAAAACACCTTCCGCATCACATAAGCATTCTCAGCAACACGCCAACCAACCCAGATACAAGAGTTGTTAGGGTTGCCATCTGCCGAAGAAATCCGTTCATTGTCACGGTGACCCCGCAAACGATGAACCCCGCGTGGCTGTCTTGGATAAAGCGCACGAGATACTGCCCAGTGAAATCACACTTGTCAGCACTCTGCAGTTGATTGATGAAGGGGGCCACCTCGCACGAGTCGAAGGATGGAAAAAGATGCACAGCATGGTCATACAGAAATGCATCAGCGAAAGCATGTGGTCAAAGCTTGATTCGGAAACTAAAAGGTGATCTTCCGAAACTTTACGGTTTTCTTCGGAAACTAATCCTCGGGAGCTAATGGTTTTCTTCGGGCCCATGTACGTCACCAGGTAATTACGTCAATAACCTACGACAATAACCCACCCACCCCACCCACCATAGTGCTACTTCATCCAAGTTCGATGCAATGTGGAAGTCCTGAATAAATCTGAATAATACTTTCTGAAGCATGCAAGAAAAGTGTCTGAAGATCGCGAAATAGTTTCTGAAGAGCGCGACATAGTTTCTGAAGAATAGTTTCTGAAGAGTAGTTGCGGAAGAATACCAAATAGTTGCGGAAGAACAGTTTCAGAAGAATGGAGAGTTGCGGAATAGGACTTTGTTCCATGTGTCACGTCACATAAGTTACTGTCTCGTAGCACCTAAAACAACTGGATTGATCCAACGCTCTCCGGATCCAACATCAAATCGCCTGTTCGCACTTGTTGGTGAGTTTGCCTCCCTGTGCCAACAATCGCGCCGAGACAAAGAAGAGCAGCAACTCAGGCAACAATGCCAGCAGCTCCGGCGTTTTCTGCGGAGGATCAGGGACGAGAGTCGATCGATTCTCTTGTGGTTGGACCTTCAAAGTGCAAAACATGGAGATTTGAGGGTAGTCCAGGGTATTCGACTAGAAGGTGCTGAATGTACCAACACATGTGTATACATCTCCTTGGGAGAAATTTAAGATGGCTTCGAAGTGAGTTTGGGTGTTTTAAGGCATGATGATGTGCTCCATCTTTGCTTCATTACAGACCTACTCTGGATTTTCACTGGCCGCTAGCTGCCTTTACCCTAGAATCTTCACGAGAGTGTTGCCGTTGTAGCAACAGTGTCATCGTTTTCACCATCGACCAGCGACATCCACATAAAATCACTCTTGAAACTCAGGCCAGGAAAATGTAGACTCTTGATTGATAGAGCCCGTACAATTGGATTGTAGAACCTGGGTTCTTTTAGTAATCAAGCGTCAAGAGAGTCTACCTGAAAATGCGTATATCATCCCAAAATGCCCACATGATGCCCACATGATGCCCACATGATGCCCACATGCCTGCAGGCGAGACGTTTCCTCGTTGGTCCACACTAACCAGCTGAGGGTGCCAGCAAGAGTTGAGACCAAGCCGATGTTTCCGCACATCTGGAGAGCCATGAAAGAGGAACCCAATTCCCTTCCCACACTCTTGATCAACGCCTGCATGGCATTCCAGTTTCTGACCTTGCATGTGTTTCATCGTGAGGTAGAAAAATAAGAACACATCCTTCATGAGATGTCCTTCGAAACACCGAGCTTTGACCCTTTTTTCTTTTCCATTTCGCCCCAGTGCTCACTCCAAGAGTCTCCAGAGGCAAAGTCCGCTTCGATCAGCATATCGCTACACCAGCGGTCGATGGTCTTGCTCAAGCCAATGAGCAAATTACTTTGGAAATGCACTGCACCCATCACCATCAAGCTGGCGGCACCAAACGCAAGGCAATCGATGGCGGCCGTGGCATGGGACAAGTTCCGGGCCACCCTCAAACGCCTCGGTGGCCAAATCCAAATCTGCAAAAACCGTTGAGATGAAACAGGGGAGCTGGGGGCCTTCCACCGACCATCCCCCAAAAGGTTTTTGATCAGAGATTTGCATAGATTTGCTCCGTTTTTTCTCATGTCAAGTCTGTGCGTTCCAGGCAGCTCAGGATTCAGAATCTGATCCTCTGCGAAGGATTCCGCGATCTGAAAGGCCGTGAAGCCCAGCCACAGCCCAGAGTGCCAAGGCGAAGCGATACTCGAGCTTGGCAACGGTGGACCAATCGAGGCCTTGCCCACAATCCTGCACAAACTGGTCCAACTTGTCCACGGCCAAAGACAATTCAGCAGATCGAAGGGTTCTCGACTGTAAGCAGGTCAGAAGCAAAGCGACCATACTCATGAACAATGTGGAGCACATGGTCAGTACAAAGCTGCCAGGGTACACATGTCCATAGCTCAGAAGGATTCCGGCCATCGACACTTGCGAGAGACTCAGAATCAAAAGCCCAGCCATTGCATAGAACGAGCTGTGCTGCAGTTTGGAGAAGAGTCCAACCCCAATCTGATTGGCCAAAATGTCACTCTCTTGAATTTTGTCGCATCCCAAGATTTCGGTCTGCGAATGCTTTGCGAGCATCGACAGCTGTGACCCACGAGCACTGTTCGTACCTGATTGACACTGGTCAGAAATTCCCAAGCGTTTCTTACGCGTGCAGCGTCTGAAAAACTATGCATCTACACTCTAATTGAAAACCTGGATCATCTGTTCCAGTTCACCAATAAACTACCCTAATTGTTACCAGACTGGACCTCCAAACACACCCAGGACGGATGATCCTGGTTGCAAATATTCTTGCCGTCTTCCCAGTGTGAATGGCTCTAAGGAATCTTCAAGCCATCAGCCCGCAGGGGGTTGGCCAGAACCCTTTTTTGAGGAGATTTCTCCATGGGGGATTGACCTTGACAGTGTTCTGAATCTACTTCCCGAGGCTTCCAATACAGGCTCCTTCTTTGCCGGAAGGAACGATGAGTCGGAGGAGATTCGCAAAAAAAGAGTCCCTCTTCAGAGGTGGCCAAGTGATGCCACCCAAAGAACCCCCCAAAAAATAACGGGAGAAGAAACCCACCATCCGTGGGTCATGACCCATCCGTCAAATCCGTCGCTCGAAAATCGCTGTCAGCTCACCCATGCGCACCCATGCGATGCCCTGGCCCAGTTGCTGATGCTGGGTCTTCGGAGAACTTTAGCTGTTCCAACAACCACGGAAGAAGCATTGGACAGGATCTGTGGAACCGAATCCTAACTGGCAGAAGCAACACCGTGAACTTCTTTGAGACAAGAAACAGAACACTTCTTTTCATGGGCAAAAAAGAGAAAAGCATAAACCATGCGGCCCACGAGACGCCTATATTAATGAATTTGTTATACAAGTATTATATACCTATTGGTTGTACACTTGGGGGTCATTCACCGAGCGCAAGGCTATGTTGAGAACCCCATCGAAGGTCGGAGGCTCCCATCATCTCCAACCCTCTGGGCTTCTGTATGACACAGGCGTATGGTGTATTGTGCATGGTAACCCACCTCATACATGGTGACCCACATCAGCTCAGCGTCTAGTGGCGCGACAGGATCCATCTGGTTTGGTAGGGGCGCCAGCAGTTCCACTTGCGCTTTCGAGCTCATCGGCCTGATGAACTGGGCTTCCAACTGGGGTAGAACTCTACTGCCTGGGGGGGAGGTGCCGTTTGACCTGCGACCGCCATCCGCATCAGCAGGCACCGTAGATGACCGTCCGTAACGTTACACGGTCGCATAGCTGGACCCGTCTCTTCCAAACCTGTGGGGTCAACCAGGATCCATATGGATCCATAGCCGATCACCGTTTTCTGTCCTACATCTTCAATGTTCACTCCCCTGCTAATATGACCCACATGCCCTTCTATTGCCATCACTTCGAAATGGTCAAACCGGCCGTCAAACCCGGCCGATGCAGTTGGACCAATGAGTGTATAATATAATATCTCAAATGCGATCTGACGCGCATCTTGGCAAATCTTTCCAAGGAACATAGCCCCTAGGCCCCCAAGTACCTGCTGAGAAGGTGTTTGGGGTGGGTTTGGAGGGTCTAAGTACCTTCTGAGGAAGTACTTGGAGGTGTAGGGAGCACTCATACGAATTTGGGCGGAAAAGGTCTCAGTCGAGACTCAAGACTCAAGACTCACCTCCACTGACCCCCATCCACCAACCAAGTGGATCTTCTTGGGAACTTGTTGACTGGTTCCAAAGCAAGAACACATCGGATCTCAACGAAAAATATTAATGACAGAGATACATGAATACATCGAACAGCATCATCATCATCATCAGCAGCAGCATCATCATCAGCACCATCATCATCACTCGCCTCAAATGTGCGCTCTGCGTGAAGGATTTTTCCATTGCCCTGATGGTGGCGATGGACCTTGGCAGCGTCTCGGAGCCTGAGCACTCACTGTGAGGCTCGGTCTTGCTTCGCGGCATCTCATTGGAGTTCTCAAACTTCGGCTTCCGATCTTGCTTCCGGCCTCCTGGAAGGTCGGTGGAGTGGAGAGCACATGGAAAACAAGTGGAGTGGAAATCAACAAAGCGTGGACATCAACACCTACCGGCTGTTTGAGTTTTCACTCGTTTTGATGTTTTGACAAAGAAGAAACTAGAAGAAGAACTACGCAGCGTTGAAGAACTGGGGGTGTCTGCAACCAGGTTCCGGAGTGATTGGTTCAAAACGTCTGAAAGGGCAAGAAGAGTGACCTCAACGGAGGCTCGTTTTGGTCAAGTATGCTTGGACCAGAATATCTAAAGAAAATCCATCTACATCAATCTAAAAACATATACGGGAAAAAAGGAAAACGAGCCTTTGCTGTTTTTCCAAGAGGCCTGCTCGCTGTGTTGACAAAGCTTTCAGCTCCTCTCGGATCGTTGCTGTCTTTGACTTCCACAAGAAGGTTGAAGAGGAGCTGCGCGCACTGCTCGCTCAAGCTCGTCTCCCAACCCGAATCCATGCGTGATATCCATGCGGATGCGAGGGATTTCTGAAAACGGGGTCTCAGCAAAATCATGCAAAATCTGAGCCAATGGTGAGCGGAAGGCAGCAGTTCAGCGAATGCACATCTTCCCTTTTTCCCGCTTTTAGTGTGCTAAGTCAATTGCCTGCCATGCCAAAAATGTTGCAAGCATGTGTGACATAGCCCCCCATCTAAGGCCGTCTTCCCATGTCCAACCAGCGAAAAAGACATTCAACTGGCCCGTTCACCCGGGGCCCTAAGACCATCTGCGAGCGACTGGAACCCATGGGTTACGTTGGGGAAACTGAGTGTCTGGGAGTCCCTTCGTTTCTGCCACGAACACACATATCGTCACATCATGGGCCGGTTCATGCACACTGCTTGGCTCGCGCTGCGAATCGCACTGGCCTGGTCTCGGAACTCTTGCCATAAGCGTGGGATGACCCACCGACCTGTGAGCAATCGAAAGAAACCACCTGACCATAAGGTGGCTTCTGGTAAATCTGGGAGATGAAAGGTGGATGTAGGATGATACAGGTAGGTCAAAGATCCACACCCTTCAGCACGGCTTCCAATTGAACAAGACGGCCAGCCTTCACCTTTGCCAGCATCTTTGGGCCCAAATGTCGTGAAACTGGACTTGCGCCTCCAAGGCCAACAAAATCATCAAACATCACCACTGCTCCGTACGTTCGCATAGTACTGTATAGTGTGCTTCCATCCACCGAAGGTCAAAGAGCTTTAAAGCTTTTGTAGCGCGGTAGCGCGCCAGATCGACGGATCACTGCGCCGCCACACCTCGACCAGTTCTTTCGAGCGCACGCAACGACCTCAGTCGACTCGATCAACTGCGACTCCACAGCTCTGTGCCGAGGCCGATCGTTCTTCGGTCCAAGGGGCGAAGGTGGTGCCCAAAGCCAGGATCCCGCTGCCTGGGCCGAGAACGGCGCCGGCGCGCCCGGTCAGGCGGCGAACTTCAGGCTTGGTTTTTGCTAACTTAAGGCCATGGCGAGTTTTTGCGCCGTGGTTCGTTTTATTGGCATTGATTTTCTTGTGGAACAGTTCGATTGAAACGCCCCAACGACGTTGAAAGTTGAGAGTGCCAAGAAGCCACCCTCAGATTTCGTGAGAACTTCAAGGTCCTAGGCGTCCCAGGTCCCTTGTGAACCCCCCCAAAAAAGACCTCAAAACACCATGGGCCATGCGATCTCATGAGGTGAATTCACACAACGTTCACGAAAGCTGCGCCTCGGCCAGGATCAGCTTCAGGCTCCTTGAACACACAAATTGAGCTGCGCATAGCTGCGCAGAGCTGCGGCCTATATCTTTCCAACTCTAAGCCAATGATCCATTGTCAAAATACATGTTAAAATATATCATGCACAATCTGATGCACCCCATGCCTGCCCATCTTGCTGCGCCAGCCAAGCAAGCCTAGCGTTTGTTTCGGCTGTGACTCCTTTGGGCTGTCCACCCAGCCGCTTCCCGCCCCCCAACGCGTCGCCACGGAGGAGGACACTTCACGGTCAGTGACCAGTCGACCGATGAATCGGATTCGCGAGTCGAGTCGAGTCGAGTCGAGTCGAGGAGGGCTTCTTCGAAGGACCTCCGGAGCCTGGAAAGGCATGGTCGGACTTCCATCATGAAACATATGAAGACTTCTGCAGCTAAGTGGACCTGGCCGGTCGGACCTGGGGGTAGAAGACTACAGATGATGCCGGGCCATCCGGAGACCAAAGGCCACCCACGGCCGGCCGTGATCCCACGCACGTCCTGACACCGAACCTGAAGGATCTCGCAGACCAAATGCTGGGCACAGCGGTGTGTGCCCGCGAAGGATGGACCGGAACTCAGGACCGAACGATGGACCGGTCGAACACACATGGCCGGCATGGCCGATCGCATGGCCGAACGGAAAAGCTAGTGGAACAGCTGTCAAACACGAAGTGTGTACACCATTTTTGGGCTGTCCAAAGTTTGTCAGGTGTTTTTGAGGGCAATGAACAACAGTAGAGCTCAGACTCTGATACATTTTGGGAGAAGATTCCGCCATTTCGCTACGTAGACCTACGCCTTGCATCTCAAGTTCACCACATCCACCGAACTGCAGATGGCGCAGATGGCAGCCACCCACTGGTGCGACACAACTCGAAGAAGGCTTTGACACAAATAAGAAACACCTAGTTAAGCCCTACACAGACCCTAGTGCGCCGGCGCCCGGCTGTTAGGCGTAAGCCTTTAAATAATAAACAAGCATGCAGCATGATTCTGAAAGCCAAGCTCAAGACTCATGCTTGGATGACATCCGCCATGCTGCAGTGTCTTTGCATCTCTCTATCTTTGCACTCTCTTATTCTTGACCTATCGCGTGCACTTCAGACTTCGAAGCCAATGCAATCTTTTACATCCACTCCATTACCTCCGTCGTCCAACATGGCGTCCAACAAGTCCAGGGTTCACATGAAAGGAAAGATAGATCAGAACGAACGCTGTGGCCCTCCGTCAAAGCGAACGAGACTGCATGAAAGCGTATGGATTGGAGAGTGAACATGGCATCAATTGAGCCATTTGGCTGCAGTTCGAAGGGAACACTTGCAGAGGCTATATGCATGCGATTGCCGGAGGCTCTTCCGTGTGCGTTCGCCTGTGCAGTGTCTAATCTATAGTTGTTTAAATTCTAGCCATGCTCCAAAAGGGCACCAAAAGCGCAACAACATGCCACATGTCTTACGCTCCATGTTCTCCGCTTGTCCCTCTGGCACCCCAAGAGAACGCCCCAAATCACGAGGCAACGAGGTCAATGCTCTTTTTGGGGATAAACTGACTAAAGCAAGAGGTGCACCATGGTGCGCCTCTCTTGCAACAAAACTAAGTCCCCTGCCCCATCCTCCCCTGCCCAATCGAATTATGGATTCACCGCTGGACGGTTCACAGATTTATGAACCGTCTTTCGAGCTTACCTTTTTGGGAAGGGGGGGAGTTCATGAGGGAAGGATGGGGAAGGGGTTTCTCATTCACTGAAGCTCATTCATCTTTCTCACGATCTTCACAAAGCCCTAGGATTCGCCTGGCGCCTGCCTCACATTCCTCTGCACCCTTGACATCACCAAGCTGTTTCTGGCAAGTTGCAAGGACACGTTCTTTGAATCAGCTCTGAAAAACACGCTGCAAGACAGACTAGTAAGGAACTCCATGTATTTGCCCGAATCTATTGTCAACACCAACCAAGAAGGACTTGCGTGTGAGTCCAAGATCGTGCGGGATTTCATGCTTGAAAGACTAGCAAGCTTCTACTTCTACTTCAAGCTCCCAATCTCTTTCAGAACAAACCGTCCTGTGCAATGCTGAGGTTCTGCAAAACTCTAGCACCCATCTCTGTCTCCAACATCTCATTCTCTTCCAAAATCTCCAATGCCACCTCGAAATCCGCGACCGCCTCCTCTAGCAACTGTCCCTTGGCCTGTCACTGTCGCGACCGTGCCGAACGGAAATGGAGAGATCTCTTCAGCACACCATTTCAAGATCCATCTTAAGGCATGCCTTTTCGTGGGCAATTTGTCCTCACTTCGCTCACTTTGCTCAACTCAGAACTTGCATGCAGAATTCCCAAAGTCCATCGACAAAATGCACAGGGTATCTCTTTTGGGAGCTTATATACTTGCTGTTTTTCCCTAACTCCTTTTGAAAGACATCAAATCAGTAAGAACTGTCATTTGCTGGTTGCTCGCGTCTGCCAAACCCGAAGACTAGCTACCTAGCCTTCCTTGCTTGCCCCACAAATCAAGCTGTCAATCCCTGGATCTCTGCGACGGCCCCTGCTGCAGGTGCCTTAGCAATGCCCATGTTGACCAGGATATCCGCGCCCAAACCCGTCTGCAGGAAATCACCTGACAGAGCACCACATGATCTCCAGTCTCAGTCTGCATCTCCAGTCGTCATCAGTTTCCGTGCAAAAAACACCAACCCTGGACTCCATCATTGGTCATCTGCATGTCATTTTCCTCACCGCCCAAGGGCCTTCTTCAGCAACACTGCGAGCTTGCTCGTGATCCTTCAGAGCATCTTCAAGGTCATCCAGCTCCGCCAAGGCCAGGCCTCTCGTGGTTTCGCACGACATGCCCAAGCAACCCCTGACTTCGTTTTGACTTCGTTTTGGAGAGAAAACATCACTTCGCGACCAACAAAGAATGGTCTGGCCTCGCTTGGTGAGAAGCAAGGCTAGGGTGGTCTCATCTCCATCATAGGCTTCCTCCGACTGGCAGGCCAGTTCGTAGGTCTCCACCGCTTTGCTGGTGTCCTCCGCCTCGCACCGGTGTGAACGGTGTGAACCATGCATCCGACCGGTGAGCCGAGTCTCGGTGTTCTTAAACCAGGAAGAAAGCTAAAACCACTGAAGTTGGTCGATCAGTGCTCGATCAGTGATCTATTGAAATGGGACTTTGGGAGGCCCTCTTTGATTCTAGACAAAGAAAGTTCTGATCAGATGTGACCTGGGAATTCTTTTAAAGGAAAACCAAACGGCCACGGACTCCACGGTCTACGCGCCACGGCTCCACGGTCTACGCGCCTCGAAATAGGCATCGGCCAGTGCGCCACAGACTTCGGTGGCAAAGGAAGAGGAGAGAGGCCCTTGAGCTTTCAAAGAGGAGGCAGCACTTTCAAATGACTCGATAGCTTGATCCAAGTCCTCCATTTCCTGAGAGTCGACATGTCGTTCCCGAAAATGTCTGGCGGTGTGTGCACCTACAAGCGGTATGGGCCTGCATGAAACCAGTGAAGCAAACAAGCAACAATCTGTTCGATGTTGGAAACATATGTCATACGAGCTCCTTTTCTTTCTTTAATTATTGCTGTCTCCACTTTTGGTGATGATCAAGTGTAATTAATTAGTGTATACATCAGTGTCTCCAACTGACAACTTGCTTGCCTTTCTCGCCCCGGCTGCAGCTTATGCTCGTCTTTTGGCCCAAACATATGGGCCCAGCTTGGCTGAGCCATCGCTCCCGTTCAGCCGAAGCCTTAGCCGCCGAGCCACGGAGTAGCACACACCGAGGTTGTAAAAGACCTCCGCCGCGGCCTCCGTGTCTTGAAAGCCGCGGCCTCCGTGTCGCTGGATCAAAGCTCTTCCGCGTTCTAAGTCGGCCAAGGCAGCCTCAAAGCGAGCGAGTGTCAAAAGGTGCTCCACACATAGAGCCACAAACTAGATCATGCAAACAATAAGCAATGCACATTTCAAGAGATCATTGCCATCTGCTCTCTTTACAAAGGATATTATATATTATAATCTGCCTTGTCAAGTTGCACTTGGAAAGGAGATCCGCTTTTCAACCTGCCTTCATTTGGGTCTCGCCATAGAGCAGGCTCTCGCTGCCGCTATTTGCCAGTCTTTGCTCACCCCGAATAAACTATATGACAAGTCCAACCGCAACTCCCCAACTCCTCTCTTGGAGTACCACAACCAACTACAACCAACCACCCAAACAACACTGAACGTCAACCACACTGAAGTCCACAGCAAGGCTCTTCGAAGTTCCCGGCTCGGATGCTTGCTTGAGCCATCAGTGCATTGAGTTCCACCGCCAAAAGTGTCTCGGTCCCCGCGTTGGCCTGGCTTCGCCCTGCTTCGCCGCCCCGAACGACGCGCGACTTTGCCCCCTGAAACGGAAACCGAAACAGTGGTCAAAGAGGACCCCAAAGTGGCTGGGTTAAAGTGATTGGGGAGTGACATGGAGTCCCCATGAGTTGCCTGGAAGTTTCGGGACTCCTAGGTTGTTTGGCAATGTTGGAACCATTTGGAACCACTCTGCTCTCGTCTGCTCTCTGTGGCAGTGGTGCTGGTGTCATCACCTTTGATTCGCAAACAGACCTTAAACAGCATCAAATGAATTAAACTATATTATTACCTAGGTATCGTGACAAGGACATGAAATGTGTGGCGGTGCAAGTCTGAATGGAGTTTGTGAATCAGGTTTTACAGTGCCTGGGAAGGGGGAAGCGAAAGTCAGGAGGAACCCGCAGGTGACTTTTCGGCGCTTGTATGGAGGCTCGCGATGAAAGCGGGCCCCGCGAAGCCCCCTTCTATTGGCAGAAAAACTCAGGCATCGGAGGGGCCAAGCGGGACTTTGCCCTGAGGTAGAGCTTATCTGGATGCAACCCGCGGTCATTTGGGTCCACTCCCGTCCGGAACCGTTTCCACATTCTTGGCTGGTGGGGCTTTACTTTTCTATCTATTTGGGTGTGGCAGAGTTTTTCACGTCGAGTCTTGGGAGGCGCACCGATTCACTAGTACTGTCTGGTGCTTTCTCAGCGGAACACGCAATGAATTGAGCGGACAAGAACGTCTGAGCCGCATGTCACCCAAATGTTCAATACGTATGCGTCACCTAAAGGGTGTATTTTGTCCACTCTAGTGCGGTGATGATGCCAGTGATGCAATACTTCAGTTGACTTGCATCTTCTGCATCACCAATCCACAAAAAAATAGCAGGCTAACGCGGTTTACATCAATTTGTCCTCCATCTTCCCCCCAACCCTGAAGACTAACTTCGTTCGCATCAACTAACTTCAGCCTAGCCTATCACCTACCTTGTCGTAATCCAGAGCTATCCAGAATCTATAGATGGCCGATTGGTAGAAATGCATGCATGTTGAAGAGTGTTGACGGTATCAGTACCACTTGTTTCGCACGAGACGGCTGGGAGTCAACCTGAAAAACCCCGACACCTTCACCCCAAAATCTGAACATGAATCATGACCATATATATCCTTTCTATTCCTTTCTGGCTTCTTTTTTACCATAACAGGATTCCACGCACCCCCCCATTTGCACACGCCATGCGGGCCGAGTAGAATGCGAAGCGTCCGTTTGATGAGGTTTCCCGGGCCTCCAAGACCTTCCAGGCTTTTCCCAGTGCATCTCTGGTTTCTTCGAAAGCGCTTGGAGCAGTCGAATCGCCTGAAAAAAACAGAGATATGGGCCATACATATGGCCATATTAGACAGGTCAGCAAGGTCATTCTTGTAATTTCTTGTATATACTCTATTATACTTTTAGTTCACCAGTTTCACCAACCGGCCAACAAACCAACACGTCTTTCTCTTCGCCCGAGTGTGGGTCAAACCCTGCCAACTCCGCCTCACAAAAAAGGCAGAATAGCATAGACTAGCAAACACTCCTCCATTTTTGCAGTGTTTCGGAGTTTCGTTTGGAGCGACACATGGTGAAACATAATACTGTCTTTTTCACAGAACATGCCTGTTGATCTGCGATTCTGGTTCAGCTCGCTCGTGTTCGCGAGTGTTGCACGCGTGCTTGCGTGTACCACGTGTGTTTGCATTCCCAACGTAAACCGAGGACGCATGTGAACAATCCAAAAAAATCACAACGGTTCTGCTGGTCTTTAGATTTTCCCAGATTGTAAGTATCCTCTACTTGATGAAGTTGTTCGCACAGTTCAACCCCCTTGGTATGGAGAGGTTTTGCTCGCAACAAACTGATGTTGCAGGCGAGGGACCTTCCTTCTGCATGAAGGCCAAGCCAAAGTTCATCCAAAGCTTGACACCCGACATGGAATTGAGCAAATCCTTTGTTTGGAAGACTTCTTGGGCGTGTCGCAAATGTCTTAGCGCCAAATCAGCTTCACCAGCTTTTACATGTTGATTGGCCAAGTTTACTAAGAGATCTGCTCCTTCTTCTGTGTCAATGGCCTCTGCTTCCAAGAAGAGTTTCCTCGCTTCTTCAAAGCCTTCAAGAGCTTGAGCTGGCTTGGAAGCGGCCTCGAGCGTGGCCATGTTCGCCAGCAAGCAGGCGGCCAAAAAGCCTTTCAAGCCATTTCGATCTTCCAAGATTTGCCGCGCACTGCGGTAGGACGTCAACGCCTCCTCATATCCGTTCAACTCCACCTGTGCCGCAAACACTCGTGGGCCACATCCACAATTTAGAAAAAGAAAGGACACGGTCTTGTGAACAGCAAGGAGTACGGCAAGGAACAACCTCGGAAATACACTTTGCGCTGCAGTGGCAGGAGCAATAGTACTCCTTCCAAATCTTGCTTGACGACAAGACAAAAACAAAGGTGGTTGTAACCAGTGAACTTTGCAACCAGAACAAAAAAGAATGGATGTGCATTCAAGAACTGCAGCCCCCAAAAAATGCAAAAATCTGTGTTTGTCTGGAGAAGGATTGCTGAGTGGAAGACGATCGAACCTACGAGATGTTTCACGCCATAACTGGAGTCCTGTGCCAAAACGATGACTGTGGGCCACCCCCACGCGACGTCGAAAAACGCGTGGCCCAACTGCGCTTCAACATCGCTGCGCTGTTTTACAGCGACGCCCGCCTGCAAGTCACCCAGCTTCTGCAGCAGTGCTGCGCCCTCGGCAGAATCCAAGGCACCCTTGGCATCCTGAGGCGAGCCCAAAGGGTTGACCTTTTTACGGACCACGATGGTACAAATGGAGAACCAGAAACGCGAAGAAAGAGTTCTCCTACATTCTCCTGCACCAACCAAAAACCAAATCGCTTGAAATGGGATCCCTCCAGTATGCTTTTCCTGATCTTTTCCACTGGTTTTAAAACAAAAACACCTCGTCTTCGGCCTCTCCTTCTTTGCCACCGCCATCACCAAGTTGCTTTCCGCGCCTGGAAGTGACTGAAAGGATCGATGGTTGTTTTTTGGGAAGGAAGCTGAAGGAAGGCACCCCACGGATTCCGCGGGGAAGACGGGGGCAGCCCCGCCCCAAACCGGTTCCAACCAGGCCTTCCAAGTCATCCAATTCAAACTGGGCATCGCTCATCTTCTCCAGAACTTCGATACCCATCAAGGAGCCCAAGGCACGGGCCCGTTCCAAGGTGTCTCTCGCGGTTTTGTAGTGATCAAGCGCCTGAGCAGCGTGATCGGTGTGCAAGTCAGACCATCCTCCACGAAGATGGATCTGATTGAGGGTCTGCCCACATGGAGCTCCGATTGATGACAGTTCTGATGATTACTCTTTGGACTCGAAGAGTTCTGATGTTGTTGTGTCATTCTGGGTGGATCAAACCTCCAGCTACTAGTAACAAGGGCATCGCTACTAGTAACAAGGACGCCACTAGTAGCTCCTGGCATTACTAGGACCAAGAAGCTACGAACGTAACAAGGATGTTTGCACTCCCAAACTCCGACGCCGCCCAAGCTCCGACGTTGTGTGAAACGCCCCGCCTCGGCAAAGCGTTCCAGCTCCTCCAAAGCCTTGCCCGCCTCAATCAGCAGTCGCACACCTTCCTTGGACTCCAAGAGCTTTTGCTCTGTAAAGGCCTCCAATGCAGTGGAGAATGCAGCAACCACCTCTTTCCGATCTTCAAACACTTTGGCCTTGGTGATGGCAATGTTTGCCAGCAATCTGGCTCCATTCTTGGATCTCAAGCGCTGCAACTGCCCAAAGATCTCTTGGGCTGATTCATAGGACTCCAGAGCGGCTGCGAAGTGTCCTTCTTCGGCTTGAGCAACTCCAATGCTCATCTCAGTCTTGGCAAATTCAAAGCTGTTGGTCAACCCAGCATCTCTCAGGCAGCCTGGGGACGGACATCTCAACTGAGGGCGGGGCGATGGGCTAGACGGAATTCCCCAACCAATCCGCTCCTTCTCGCCGATTGGGGACGGATCCGCTTCGCCCCGATTCCGCTTCCCCAAAAAAACATCGACTGTCACCCTGCCTAGAACCAGCTCGAAGTCCTTCAAAGCTGCCTGGTGCTCTCCAGCTGCTTGATGTTTCGCTCCATTCCTCCAATGCTCTTGCCAATCTGCGGCTTGCGGAGCTTCTGCTTCCACCACTTGCTCCGCAGCATCCTCAGCTTTCTTATCGTCGGCTTCAAGGTCCACATCCTCCGCAGCATCCTCAGGTCAACTGACGTCTGTTCGAGAAAAAGAGGAAGCACCAAACAGATACAAAGCTAATTCTAAATGAAATAGAACGCTGCTTCCAAACAAGTGACCCTGGATTGCTTGGCAATGACCACTGGACGTTTAGAATCCAGCTGAGCAGGCAAGGCCTTTCTCCTCGAGCTGCACGCCAGGCAGGCCAGGAACGGAAGGACAGCCTAGCGGCGATATCGCTCTTTTGACATCGAGTTCCTAACAGGATTATCATCCCAATCTTGAAATATGGGGTCTATGGTCTACTCCACTACTACTCCACTACGCCCCACACCCCCACATGATGTACACCCAAAATTCGATAGGTTCTTGAAAAGTCACTGGTGTCAAGAGTGTAACGGCCGTACATAAGCATCATTAGCATTTCAAATTAGCAGTATTGTGCAAGTTCAAGAACCATTTTGTAGCATTCTTGCGTAGAATATACCTGTCAACGCGCATTGCCCGTAGAACATTCAGGTGTGGAAATAAGACATCCACCCGACCTTGTTCTTCACCAGCTCGTTCCATTGAAGCCCCTTCGGCGCAGCGGAGTTCGGGAGCCGCGTTCTCGGCCGCGAACTCGCCCGCAACGGAACGGATCTCAGCGCGGCCACGGTGGGAAGGTCCATGCTGCTGACGTCCATGAGGCTTTCTTCTTGTGAAAAGCCAAGCGAAGTCCGTTTGTTCTTGCAAAGTCGACTCAAGCTTCAAGAAATACCAAGTGATATGTCTGTCTTTGCTGGTTTGATTAGTTGAGTTATGTTGAGTTCATAAGAACCCCATGAACGTCATAAGCTCAACTCCCTAACTTAAATTTATTCAACTACACTGGATACAAGCTGATGATAGTCATGATCAATCCAATGAGTTGCTTCCACACCTTCGCAACACCTGGACCTTGTTTAAGAAACTATAAATGGCTCCCTGAACCAGGAGAAAGCCGGACGAATTCGTGAGACTTGTCACTCTTGCAGCGCTCTTGTCACTCATTCGTGGTTTCACAAGTCTACTCCCCAGCCCAACTCTTGGCCAGCTTCCTGCCCAGGTCAACTTGTTTTCAGGCATTAAACGAGCTCGTGCCAGCTGGCCGAGCGAAAATCTGGACATGATGCTCCAGCTGGCGCCTGGGGAAGTTCTCGTTGAACTTTGCTGTTTTCAACTTGTGTCCATGGGACTTGGAAGCTCAGCCCGCTTGCCCGTTTGCCCAATCTGTTCCCGAGAACCTTTCTGTAACCTGAAAATTGTACCCTGAAGCTGCTTTGCAGCTCAGTGAAACGTCGACGTCCCTTGTTGAGTGATGCATTACGACCACAAATTGCTTCGAATCTGTTCGTACACAAATGCACGATTGATAGAACCACAAATCATTAGCTAGAATGTAAGAAGATTATCAAGATCAATTCATAAAACTCCCCTGAGAAACAGCTCGTGGAATGCGGGTGTAGCTCATGTCTTTGTGGATTTGACAAAACGCACCAAGCATAGAAGCGTCTATATAGAAAACATAACCACCTTGCACAAAAGGAAAACAATCTACCACCTGCCCAAAAGAACACAATAGACAAAAATAGTGTTGAAGTCTCTTAACAGACACTATAATTTGGTAGAAAGTCTTAGAAAGGTCGAAGTCCTTTGGACCACCTCCCCGGTCGTCCGGGGGAAGCGGTACATCACCGACCGGTCGTCCGGTTGAGTGGGACATCGGGACATCGGTCTTGACGGCCGAGCTTCGACCCAGTCTACCTGCCCGAGAGAGCTTGATCGATGTCTCCTTTCACCTCGGTCGAAAGGCGCGCGGCACACGCTGAAACGACACGGAACACGGGGAAAACGCGTCTTGTTCGGAACGTGCTGGGGCTTTCATCAGTGGGATGGGAGAGAGGTTTAAGGTCCAAAATGTCATCACTCCATCAGGAGTGATTTACATCAAAAAGGCTTTATCTTGAAAACAACCGTTCAACACCGCCATGTTGAACACCCGTCGCTCACAGATGTCCATGGTCTCCCACCATGTCCCACCCCTTCATGGGGTCAGGTCATGAAGTCCGTGGATCGGATCAATTGCTGAATTGTTCGATCTTGCGGAGTCGATCCGCATCTGCTGATCAATTGCTGACTTTCGCGACTGGTTGGTTTCACGGGTTCGGACATCACATCTGGTGAAACCACCTGCTGGATTTGAGCGAACGAACTCCACCTGCTGGATCTGAGTGGGGTGTCCTTAATCCTCGAAAAAGCCCACCGGTGACTCCCTTTCGTGCAAGCATTCATCAAGAGCACAAGGATGCGTAGAAAAGTCAGTGCAAAAAAAATCCTCAAAAAGGTCAAAGGATGTTAAAGATGTTGAAGGTTATCCACTGGGTAGGTTTGCAACTAACTGGAAGAACAAAATCAATTGGGATGATCTCATTCAAAAAACCCAACATTGCCAAAATATGATCTCGGAAGATCCCAAAATATCCCAAATATGTTCATCCTGCGCAAACCTGTCCTGTCTTGAGTATTGAATAGTATTGACCACAGGCCGGTTGTGCTTCACACCGGAATATCTGCACCTACATTGACCCCTGTGGCCTCAACCACCCCAACGTCGTCGGCACGCATTCCATATACATGGAGTGTCTGAGTGACACTGGTCCACTTCACCTTCGATGGCCAAGCAGCTCGAGAAATGCCCTGCAGCAAAAGCTTGGCCACCTCGTGACAGGTCGATTGACATGACCGACGTCGAGCGATGATGGATACCTGGATAGTACAGAAATTTTCATATCCTAGCTGCTCCTAGCTCTTCACATTTTGGTGTGTCACTGGCACTGGTTTGTCTCATCTCATATCAGTTTTGGCATGCACGCCAGAATCCACTCCGGGTCAGAGTAAGCCTTCCTCCAGTACTTGCCACTCCACTTCTCTGCACGGCTTGGGGCCGCGAAGCGGGCGGGCGGAGAAGGCCACTGACGGATTTCCATTGGACATGTTGTTGCAAGGTCCAAGTTGGGTACAGAGTTGTAGTGCATGGATTTACAGTTCTCCCCCCTGAGTTGTAGTCTGGTTGTACCCACCCACAATCTCCCACATGTGGGAGACATGTTCATGACGTGTCAGCAATTTACATGCACATAATAATCATAATCATAGTCATATCGGAGCTTCACTGTCCTCACTTCTACATCTTCTACTGCATGACAAAGAACGCACCTCGACCACAAATAGTGACTTCCTCCTTGGCCTCTCGCTAAGAGCCACACCAGCCGGCCACCAGCGCCAGCCGCTTGGTCTCGGTAGTTCCAAAGCTTCGCGAAGACCTGAGACGAAGCCGCGGAGCGCGGCTGACCAGCACAGCGATGGTGGTGGGTCTGCGCTCTCACTGTTCCCACCGGTGGATTCTGAAAAAAAAAAAAAACAAACAAACATATCCCAAACACGACCCATGGGACTGGCATATTTACACATTGGGGTGGTTGAAAAGATTGAAAACCGGGTTAATACAAGGAACCTTCTTTTTTGTATAGGCATACAGAAAAAAACGCGGAGTCTTTGTTCATCACAATATCACAAGTCATCTGTACAGGACCGGATGTGCGTACAATATTCGGGGTGACGATTTGTAGAAACTCAAGCAAACCTTCTATAGTTCTGCATATAAATAGACATTCAGTAAACTGCCGATAAACACATTCCTCACTTCGCTGTGCTCAGTACCAAATAATTATAAAACTATATATTTTGGAGTAGTTAATTTTTATATTTTATGTATTACATAAAATATAAAAATTAACTACTCCAAAACCATGCATGTTCGGTGCATCTTGCAGAATCTGCGGTAAAAGTGGCCCTGAACATGCCTGAACCATAAGCCCCGTGAACCGTTTTGCAGGGTGCGCAGCTCCATCGATCTTTCCTCACCGATCCATCGACCCGGGACGTCCTGTTCGGCGACCGTTGGCCTCCGTGGCAATGGCTCGCTGTTCGTTGAAAGGCCTTGGAATACGCTTCGGGAAGGCCGCGAGGAAGCTGGCCGGTCGTGTGACGAAACGACAGGTCGTGTGAAGAAGGCACCTCTTTGGAGTTGGTCAAGAATGGCAAAGAAAAAAAAACACCACAACTGACTGCGTTAAAAAAGGAACGAGGAAGGCACAACACCTCAGCCATGAGTCCCAATTTTCAGTTCGGGGAGTTGGTCAACTGACTTCACTGATGGGTGTTTTTCAAGAGCCGAAACCTTATGCTTCTGCCTTCTGCCAACGCAAAAACCCACGAAGTATTGGATCTGAAAAGCCGAATGAGTTCGCTGGTCCAGCCGGCAAAGCCTAGCTCAGTGATCAGATCTTGGGGGTCCATGACAGGCCTTCAAGATCTTGAAGTCAAAAGAAAACCGCTCACTTATTAGGATCTCCAGATTCAGACTGCTGGATGAAACCCCTCGTTCGAACCCCTCGTTCGAACCCGCGCACCCCGTCACCGACTTGACATCTCCAGGCTTGAACTCAGTGGCAAAGACCGGAACTGCTGGAGGATCTCCTGCACCTCGGCGTCGTCACCCGCGTCGCGGGTGGGGCATCACCCGCGGCCCGCCCGGTGTAGGGTGCGGGATCTTGGGGCGGCAG